CCTATATGTTGAAGTATTATTTCATCTTAAAGGGATCCTGTGCCATAATTTCTTCTCAACTTTTTTTCTCTCATTAATACATTTTACAGACTAAACATTTTGACAAAGAATTTGAAAAGTATTTTAGGATAAGTGTAATGTCCAATCCTACCTAGAAGTATAGGTTTATTATTATTATTTAAATGCAAAAACAATAAATTCATGGAATAAAATAAAACAAAACCAAATTATATAAAAAAAAGATACTTCATATGACCAAAAGAGAAGGAAAGGATAAAACTTTGATTTCAAATTATAATGAACTGTTATCTAAGCCAGAATGTTTTATTTTGTGACTTATATAACTGAAATCTTCAAGCAATTTACAACCATCCTTTAAAAATAGCACCTCTGAACACAGCAACGGGGGGAGCAACTAAACTCAAGACGCCCTAGCTGAACTTTCTCACTCAGCTGTTGTGATAGGCACAACAAGAAATGAGCAAGGAAAATTTAAAAATGAGAGATTAGCATTAAACTGTAGAAACAGTTTCTTGGATTCACCTGGGCCAACACAAGGCAGAAGTAACTATGCCAGCTACTTTTGCAAACATTTAACTTGCCACCATAACTACCAGCTGTGCCTCTCCTGAGAGACCAGCATCATGGGTACCACAGGGAGATGGTCCGTCTCCAATCCCCTGCTCCTGAGGCATTTCTTAAACAAACAAACATGTCAATGCTCCTTTCTTGCCCCTGGTGTCAGATGCTGAACCCATGGTTACAGGTCAACTTTGGCAAGTCTGCTCATAATAAGTCCAGTCCCAGTTAATCTTCCTGGGCTGGGGATTCAGCTAAGGTAAGCTTCACTTTCTATCAGATGGAGAGGGAGGTGGGAGGGGGGATCGGGAAGGGGAATACATGTAACTCCATGGCTGATTCATGTCAATGTATGACAAAACCCACTGCAATGTTGTGAAGTAATTAGCCTCCAACTAATAAAAATAAATGAAAAAATAAATAAATAAATAAAAGATAGCCTTGAAGCCAGAAAGTCCCTGCTTACAGATAAGCAATCTTAAAAAAAAAAAACAACAAACAAACAAACAAAAAAACAAGCCCCAGTGTCCTGAACTGACTTCCATTCCTAAGGATCTTCACATACTCATTTCTCCAATGTCCTACCAAGTGATTAAGCATTGTGCTTGGCAGAACACTGGTAAAGAGAGAGCCTGATATCAACATTCTCCCTAGGGCAGTTGCTCTTGATGACCTTAACCACGTGCCGGACTCCTGAAAAATGATGCTTGATCTGGCTTACTGCAGAAGAGTGATGCCCTGGAGAAGAATGCATCCATTCTTCAGAGGCTCATCTACTTCCCAACTCATGTCAGGGGTGGAGAAGAGGAATAGGGCTAAGATCCCATCAAGACTTCTGTCAAGGTCTTGAGCAACATCAAAAAAAGGAGATAGAGAATCACTAGATCCTGTTTGTCTGATCTTGGAATGATCCTGACTTCTCAGGTAACCTCAAAAAAAGAGAGGACTAAAGGCCTGAGATGACCTGCTGGCATCACATCAGCTGGAGTCCAAGACAGAGGAATGTAGAGACAATTCACATGAGAAAGAAGTTGGTGAATTCTGTCCACTCTCACCCTCCAACACTAGGCTTTTATAAAAAACATTCTGGCTGTAAAGTCATAGCAACCTCCAGTGACAGACAGAAAGCTGTACTGGAGCTGGCATTTTCTACTGGCATTTAACATTTAAGTCTAAAACATCCAGCACTACATATAAAATATTCAGATCAAGTCCTTGAGAAGTGGGCTCTTACCTAACTCCTCACTGTCATCGACAAGAATTACACAGTATGTAGCATATTCCAGACAATGAACATAGGTGACTGCAAGAATGAGGGACATTTTCTAGCAGATTACCAGATGGAATAAGACCAGTTTCCCCTTCTTTGATCTCGAACAAGAAGGAAACCATCTCTTTCAAGGATGACTTAGGTACCATCTTGTGTGGAAGCACTAGGATCGACCACATCCAGGTAAAGAGTCTGGTAGGAATTCTACTGAATGTATCAGTTGACATTTGATTTGATTCAAAGGCAGTTTTCTTTAGCTCTCCATCCTTAATAGTGACGATGTGTGGGGGGAAGCAGGCCAGGGATGAGGCAGACAGTGAAAGGAAGAAATATTATAGTGTTCTATATTTATCCAAGATTGAAATTGGTTCAAAGCCCTGATTGAGTCTGGAACTGCACAGGTCTGGGTTGTTAATGAAATCACCAAATTACTAGATGCAAAATTTCAACTGTTTAAAAGATAAAATAGGACCTTCCTGGTGGTGCAATGAATAAAAATCTGCCTGCCAATACAAGGAACATGGATTCGATTCCTGGTCTGGGAAGATTCCACAACTAAGATTTGCAACTACTGAAGCCCACACGCCTAGAGCCCTGCCCTGCAACAAGGAAAGCCACTGAATTGAGAAGCTGGAGCAGCCAGCAAAGAGTAGGCCTGCTCACCATGACTAGAGAAAGCCCGTGCAAAGCAAAATAGACCCAGGCCAAAAATAAAATAAATAAAACGTAAAAACTGAAATGACATTCACCATCCCTCTGAATCTATCCAACTTCAGAACAATGTACTGAGTGGTACATGAGTATGTTCGGCTACATAGTCTCTGACAAGGATAAGGGAGGAACATTTGTTGTGATTTTTTTTTTTTTTTTTTTTGCACCATCCCCAGCCTAAAAGGAGAGGATCCTGTGCCATTTTTGCCTCTCAGGTGCCGTGGTATAAAAATTCCCAGTGGTCTGAGTCCTCTCACTGTAGCCCAACAAACAATGCTTAAAGACACTATCAGCTTCTACTCATTTGTCTGCCAGAACTACACAACTTATTTGTAATTCACTGAATGCCTTAGGTGGTGTCATTTTCTTTCTTATTATAACAATCAAATGTGTCACAAACCCTCATCAAAGATCATGCCATTTTATTTTATCAACAGACCTAGCTCAAACTTCGACACATATTTCCACCATATCAGAAAAGACCTGCCAATGCAGGAGACCCAGGTTCGATCCCTGGGTCAGGAAGATCCCCTGGAGAAGGAAATGGCAACCCACTCCAGTATTCTCGCCTGGAGAATTCCATGGACAGAGGAGCCTGATGGGCTACGGTCCATGGGATCACAAAGTCCGACATGACTCTGCGACTAAAACAACAACGATGAAGAAAAGTAGTCACCAAGTTTCTTGTGTCTTGAATTTCATCCTCTTGTCTTATGTGATTAAATAGCAATTAATTCCATAGACACATGCTACTTTTACACAGATGCAGAGAAGTTTTTCAGACATTTCAAGCTCTGCATCAATGTCATTCAAAAGCGAGCCGTATTGTAGGTTGCATAAAGAAAGCATTCAATTAGCTCTACTTTTCACAAATTCAAAATGTTTGAGGGACTAAGGAAAAACCTTTTATGTGGCAGAATTTTCTAAAGGATGATAACAGAGTACAAGTTCCTCACAACAGAAATGGCCCTGCTTTTTCTATTCAAATGATTAAGGGGGGAAAACACTAAATTTCAGTATTATGCAAATATTATGAAATACAGCTCTATAAAAAGAAACTTTGTCATGCAAAAACCCGAAAATAGTTGCTCTGGGGACACATATAAATTTCACTTTTTAAAAAAACACCATATTTAACACATATGGTCACCAACTCCAGCTCTTATAAGAGTGATTGTCGACAACAAAAAGATCACTGCTTTTGTATTTATGAGTTAACACTTCCAAGAGTGCAAAAAATAAAAATAAAAAATAAACACAAGATGGCAAAAGCTGGGCAAGGTGTGTGAACGAGAGCAATAAAGGACAATTTAAATAATACACTGATGACAACTGGTTATGAGCAGCATACTAACAACAGAAATAAACAAAACAGGCGCCTGCACTCCCTTACAGATAATAGAACAACATACACATATTTAAATGGAAAGAATAGGGACACTGTCAAATCTGTTTGCAGGCACAATAGCTTTTACATTAAATGGATATGCACTTACATTTTCTGTGGTTCCAGTAATCACGTGCAATCCATCATAGGTCGATTTGATGTACATACCCTAGAGTGAGTCACAAACATATTAACCCATTACTCCAACGTTCAGAAACAGTGAGACTTAGATGTAACAAAAGATTAAAGGCAGTCATTTCAGAACACCCCTCATTCTTCAGCCTCTCGAAACACTGTAAAACAAGATCCAAAGAGTGGTGAAGGGGAACTAACCAAATACTAGTGAAAGAAATCAGAAATGAGATCTCTTTGATATTAAAATTTGTGTACCAGGCACACAGAATTTTGCCCTAAGTCTGAAGACTCAGAAGGAATGTTCTCAGATCTGCTGAATGAATGAGGCAGTTCAAACAAGGCCGGTCCTCTCCCGACCATCTCTCTGTGTAGTGCCATAATATATTCACTTAATTTGGTCTCAGCAGTCACTGCACGGTGACTTATTCAAGCCACAAACAACCAAACCAGGATGTAAGAGCAGAGACTGCTTAGTAACACAATATAAGAAATAAATTAGAAACAGGCATTCCTGCATTTTAAGGGAGGCATAAATATTAATACACTCCATCCTCAAATGCCCAGTGGGCAAACTCAAAGGTGAATGCATAGCCTGGAAGAAATAATCTCTGCAGTTTGAGGCACTATGTATTATTTTTAAAAATGTTTATTAAACTTTTATAAGATGGGGAAAGAATAAAAGGTAGAGAGAGCAAAGAGTAGTTGCTCACCCTGGTACCAATGCTATAATAACACAGAACCTCCTCAGAAGTCATTTTGACCGTGAACTTGCCTTGCTCAGCAACCTACAAGCCTTTGGGGATAAGTATCTCATCCAACACTAACCTTCACATTTCTGCCCTGCCTCTCAGCTCCTGTCACTTTCATATCAGAGTTATCATCTTCTCCCCCAACATGGTATTCCTCTTCACAGGCCTTTGCTTGGATAACGTCAGCATTTGGAACGGCAACTCCATTTCTGCCCACTCGGGCACTTCTCCACTTCAATACGTGAAAAAGCCCACTTCCAGGAAGCCTTCCACGTTTACGTCCATATAAGCCATCATTTACTTTGAAGTGGAGCAGTCTCGGTATGTACATTTCTCCTTACCAAGAATGTGGACCTAGGTGCTGATCTAGGTTATCGACCTGTAGGTATTCTCAGGGCCTGTTATTCCAGAGCTCATACATTACTTCTAAAACATTTCTGAACTTTTTAAAAAGAATCATTTCTTTCAACCTGTCTCTTCTCACATAAAGCCTAAGTGCTAATAGAGACTTCACAGCAGATGTTGTTTCCTACCCAGAGACCATCTTTCCTTTGTGGAAATGTGCTCTATCTCCTTGTATTGCTAAGACCTAAAAATAAAACTGTTAAGACAATTCCTCAAGATACGAGTTTACAATTTTAAAACTGTATTTATTTTTATACTTTGAAGAGGCTTTGATATAAAACATATCAACAGTTCAAGATGGCAAATTCTTAACTACATAATGGAAATCAGTCTAATTCAACTGTTCAGAATTCTAGTGAAAGCAATATGGAATTATTGTTTTGAAAAAAACACAGCAACTTTAATAAATGATGCTGTCCGAAAATAAACAAATGCTGTTAGAAGTCTTACCAAACCTTCCCCAGGTTTAATGTTTGGTAGGTGAACTTCTTCCAGACACGCACACTGGCTCATTACAGGATCTGTGGTAGATCGGATGGTCTTGTCGCAGATGCCATTTAAAACCTTGACCTAGAGTTGGAGAGGCAAATAGAGAAGGTCAATCATTAACCAAGTTTATCTCCGGCTGAATTTTTTCTTTTTAAATGCACTTCACCGATCATCTTTACTGTGATAATACCACGCCATGAACAGGTGGCATGTGGCTTTCGTATTTGCAATGTGTAGAATAGTGCCATTATTCCAGCTTTGCTTAAAAAGTGCAGCTTTTAGATTAATTTATTTACAACTGCTGATGTTGGGCGGCTCCAGAAGGCTGGGCGGAAACCCCCTTTCAGGAGCTAAAGAGAACCATGTATTCCCAGCCATCTCTGTGGTTTTTTAAGAATGGCTCACATTCTCTGCATACCAAATACCAACAATGTAAAAATAAATTATTTTATCCTGCACCTTTTTTAAAAAAATGTGTTTCATATTTTAAAATAGTTTTATGGACTTCCCTGGCGGTCCACTGGTTAAGACTCTGCGCTTCCAATGCAGGGGGTGTGGGTTTGATCCCTGGTCAGGAACTAAGATCCCACATGTCACTGGAGTGTTACAGCCAAAATATTAAGTAAGTAAATAAATAAAATTAAAGCCGCTTTCATTTTAGAGAAAAAATAAGCAGAAATTACAGAGTTCCATCTACTTTCTTTTTCATCTCAACAGTTTCTAACACAGCTATATTATTATAATGGTTAATAATAAGACACGATTAACATCTTGCATTAATATGGTACATTTGTTACAACTGATCAACCAATAGTGACACATTATTGTCAATTAAGTTCCGTAGTTTACATTAGAATTCACTCTCTATGGTGTACGGTTCTACAGGTTTTGACAAATGCACAATGTGCATCACCATCACAGTGTCACTACCCTAAAAATTCCCTCAGTTCCACCCACCTGTCTGTCCCTCCTCTGCCACTGTGAACCCCTAGGGATCACTGACCTTTTTATTTTCTCCATAGTTTTGCTTTTTCCAAAATCTCACATGATGAGAATCATATAGTATATAGATTTTGGGTTTTCAGATTGGCTTCTTTCACTTGGTCATATGTATTTAAGGGCCCCCCATATCTTTTCATGGCTTGATGGCGCCTTTCTTTTTATTGCTGGATAATATTCCATTGTCTGGATGTACCAGGTTTATCCAGTCATATACTGAAGGACACCTTGGCTACTTCCTAGTGCTGGCAGTTATGATTAAAGTGGCTATGATATTCCATGCAGCTTTTGGTGAATCTAAGTTTCTTTCATTTGGGTAAACACCTAGGTGGATAACTTCTGGTTTGCAGGGTAAGAGTACATTTAGTTTTGTAAGGAAGAAAACTGCCACAAAGCTTTCCACTGTGGCCGCACCATTTTGCACTCCCACCAGCAATGAAGGAGAGTTCCTACTGCTCTACATTTGGTGTCATCACGTGTTAGATCTGAGTTATCCTATTAAGTGTATAGTGGTACCTCATTGTTATTTTAATTTGAAATTCCTTAATGAAATATGATGCTGAATATCTTTTCCTATACTTACCTGCCAACTGTATATCTTTTATCAGAAGGTGTTTGTTTGGATCTTTCATCTGCTTTTTTAATTAGGTTGTTTGTTTTCCTATTACTGAGCTTTAAGAGTTCTTTGTGCATTTGGAATATAAGTTCTTTATCTGATGTGTGTTCTGAGAACAACTTCTCCCAGTCTGTGCCTCGTCTTTTCATTCTCTTAACAGTGCATTGATAGAGCAGAGATATTAATTTTAATGCAGTCTACGTTACCCGTTTTTCTCTCATGGATCACACGTTTTTATTTTTTCACTCCTGAGCTTCCCACAGACTCACACATCCAGATGTGCTCTCTAGCTGGGATTGGCTCCATCTTTCATTAGTAAAAAGAGTCAACAAGTTGATCTATCCCCAACCCAAGGCATTCCTTTTTTTTTTTTTTCAAGCAGACTGTTCTAATCTTCTTATTTGTTTTTATTTATTAATATTTTGGTTGTGCTGGGTTTATGTTGCTGGATGAGCTGGACCTTTCTCTAGTTGCAGTGAGAGGGGGCTGGCTCTCTAGTTGCATTGCAAAGGCTTGTAATTGTACTGATTTCTCTTGTTGCAGAGCATGGGCTCTGGGGAATGCGGGCTTCAGTACTTGCAGCACATGGGCTCAGTAGTGTGGTCCGTGGGCTTACTTGCTCCGTGGCAAGTGGGATCTTCTCAGATAAGTGATAGATCCCAAGTCCCCTGTGTTGGCAGATGGATTCTTATCCACTGCGCCACCTGGGAAGCCCATGGATCACACTTTTCATGTGTGATCATCGTCAAACCCAAGGTCAGCAAGATTTTCTCCTATTATTTCTAGGCATTTTACAGTTTCCCATTTTACATTTAGGTCTATTTTCAGTGATGACTCACATTCTCTGAACACCAAACACTGACCAGATAAAATTACTATAGAGACATGAGGATCCCTATTAAGTGGTCTCCATGCAGAAATCATAGTGGCTACATGTGGTTATTTCTCCCAATCAGATTCATCTAACCTTTCAAAATTAAACAACCAAAGAAATCAGGAAATTCTAAAGAGTGATTTTTTTTTCTTCTAAGGGGGAAGAATCCAAGAAGTGACACTTTTTGCATGCCTCCAATGTGTTTAACCTCCCTATTTATGGAAAATATATTTATAGCGGTTTCATTGCTAAATTCCTCAACATCAGTAGGAGGAAGGCCTTATCAAAAGAGCACAGGCTGGCTTATGTCAAAAGGAGGAAGTGATGATGAATAGTTACAAAATGCTCTTTAAACAGTCACAGTACATCCCCCTTCCATCATAAGATTTTTGCCAAGATTTTTTCAATTAAAAAAAAAGTGAAATTTTTGCTCATCAGTTTAACCCTGAGAACTGAGAGTTAGCTATCTAAATATAATTATACCTTGAAAAAGCGTTGGGGGAGCAAAGCAGAGACCCCAATATACCCCAATTTAGTTGGACATGCTGTTAAATAACTTGTATTCTTGCCTTTCTACCTAAATTAATAGACTCCTATCCCAAACGTCAGTATTTCAAAGCAAATCCTGAAATACCTAGCCACAATACATTTACTTTAATTAATGTGATTCCCACTGTTTTGAGAAAAGGAATTTTACAGTAACTTTTAGAAGGTATACTTACTACAGCCAAAACTTTATCCTCCATTTCCGCTACAAGGCAATCCTAAAGGAAGAAAGAAGAAAATTAAAACTATAAGAGACAAAAACTTTCAGATACAATTGGTTTAGCTTGCTAGCTATTTCCTGGGACCCAAGGAGGTCCCTGACACACACACCCCCCGACCCTGCAGCCTGCACCCCTGGACCACCTTGAAGAGAAGACTTCGAAAAGCGGGCAGAGTAAGAAAGGGGCTGACATTAGACTCCTCCTAAGACTACTGTCTCCAGATCTAGGATGCTAATCATCCAAGGAACCCATCTGACCAATTATTTAATCAGAAAGGCTATAGAAATCACCTGAACTAAACTCTACCCACTGTCCAGACTGTACAGAGAGGAGGAAGCCAGAAGTCAGAGTCCAAGAAAGTTGATAATGGTTCTCAAACGTGACCCTAGGCTGAGCTAGCACTGGGCCAACAAGCCAGGAGCCTTTGGTTCTGGGCCTGCCCATAAGAATAGCTTTCAAATAAGGGTTTGAGTAAACTTAGCCACAAAGTTTATTTTAAGCACCACTGAGATTAAATCAGATATTTCAGTCCTTAACGGATGAAAGGGGTTCAACAAAACGTTCATTAACACGCTGCCAAAAAAGTGGTCTTGAAGTATGCTATTGATGACATTAAATAATGGGCCGGAATGCAAAGCATTGTTTACTCAGCTTAAGAACAAAAGACTCAGAACCCTATGAACCCAGTTAGCTGATTACAGGACTCACCATTGTCCTGACGGAAAGCAGCCAAAGTGAAACTGACAATGTGAAACTCTCAGTTAACCTTCTAGAACAGGATCCACAGCAGAAGAGTTCAAGCTACACGGCACTGTGCATGCCGAAGAAGAGGGAGACCAATGCGATTCCTGAGAGTTTATCTGGCACCACTGCCTGCCAGTGCAGAAGACACAAGAGATGGGGGTTTGATCCCTGGGTCTGGATGATCCCCTGGAGAAGGAAATGGCAACCCACTCCAGTATTCTTGCCCCATGGACAGATGGAAACCCACTCCAGTATTCTTGCCTGAAGAATCCCATGGACAGAGGAGCCTGGCAGGTTACAGTCCATGGAGTTGCAAGGAGTCAGACACAACTGAAGCAGTTTAGCACACAGCATGCACTAAGTATAATCCCAAACTGGGGCACCCTAAGCAAAATTCAAAGTATTTCATGTACAGGAAGGATACTCA